ATGGTAGTTTTTGGTCTTTTTGAGACAGAGTCTTCCTATAGCCCCAGCTGGCCTGTAACTCCCTATGTAGACCAGGCTGAACTTGAACTCACGGAGATCGGCCTGCCTCTGCCGCCGGAGTGCTGGGATTAAAGGTGCGCACCACCACGCCTGGCCATTTTCTTTCTTTTTAAAAGATTTACTTATTTTATACGTATGTTTTACCAGTATGTATGTAAGTGCCCCTATGCAGTGCCCACAGAGGCCAAAGGGCGTTGGATCCCCTGGAACTGGAATTACAGATGGTTGTCAGCCACCATGTAGGTGCTGGGAACTGAACCCAGGTCCTCTGCAAGAGCAGGAAGTGCTCCTAACCACCGAGCCATCTCTCCAGCGCCATGACCCTCCTTTTTCATGCTCTAGGGGGACATTTTAACCCTACCTGTTGAGCCTTTTGGGGGGCATGGGGAGTGAGAAACTCCTTGCAGAGGCCAAGTGAAATGACACACTCTCATTCTCACACTGGCCCTCCCTCCTTCCAGTTTAACCCACCCCTTGCTTCTCACTCCTCCCTGGGATCATGTCCCAGATAAATGACCTGGCTGACTATATGTCTCTGACCAGTTTTCAGGGGAAGTCCCCAAGCCAAGTAGTGATTAAAATATACATGCTCAGGGCTGGAGAGATGGCTCAGCAGTTAAAAGCACTAGTTGCTCTTGCAGAGGACCGGGGTTCAGTTCCCAGCACCCACATGGTGGCTAACAATGGTCTGTAACTCCAGTTCCAGGGGGTCTGGCACCCTCTTCTGGCCACTGTTGGTATTGCATGCATGGGTGCCCTTAGATACATTCAGGTAAAACACTCATACACATAAAATAAAAATAAGTAAAAAGAAAAATTAAAACACACAAGCTCTCCCATCACCACAGAGCTATCATTCTAGCAATGAAGTCAGAAAGTGAACAAGACAGTGAGGTCTAGAGCATGTTGCCCAAGGAATTAGCAAAGACTGCCATTATACCAAAGTCTCACCATGAGGGATGCAGACCAGACTAACCTGACACCCAGCCAGGCTGACACTGCACAGAGCAGCATGTGTCAAAGTCTGGAGCATTCAAGGGACACCAGGAGGCCAGAGTGGCGGGAGAAGACAGTGGTGGACATTGCAGGGTGTCAGGCATGGAAACGACTTCAGCTCTTACCTAGAGTGAAGAGACAGGGGAGTGCCAGTCTGGCATAATGTTTTAACAGTATCATTCTGACTACAGCCAAAAAAAAAAAAAAGTCCATAGAGGTACAAGTTGGAAAATCATGAGATGGACCCAAGTGAAATCTGACTGAAAATTGGAGGTGAGAAAATTCTTAAAGTATTTTGAAGATGGATTGACAGACTTGACATGAAGGGTTTTGGCCTAAACAACCATGAAGATGGAGCGACTGTTCCCTGACCTGGTGAAGGAAGTTCAGAAGTGGGTTTGGGGGACACGGGGCATTAGGCTTGGAAGGTGTTCTGGTTACTTTTTCTGTTGCTATTTTAAACACTGTGACCAAAACCAACTTGAGAAGAAAGAGCTTATTGCATCTTACACAGTCTATATTTGAGAGAAGTCAGGCAGGAACTCAGCATAGGAACCTTTAGGGAGGAACTGAAGCAGAGACCATGGAGAAACATTGCTTGCTTACTTGCTTCTCTGGCCTGTGATCAGCCTTTTTCTTTTTCTTTCTTTTCTTGAGACAGGGTCTCCCTATAACCTCAGCTGACCTGGAACTTGCTATGTAGACCAGGCTGGCCTTGATCTCACAGAGATCTACCTGCCTCTGCCTGGACTTCAGTGCTGGTACTAAAGGCATACACTACCATGCTTGGCTCAGCCTACTTTCTTATACAACCCAGGACCACCCATCAAGAGTGGTACCACCCTCAGTGGGCTGGGCCCTCCCACATCAATTAGTAATTAAGAAAATGCCTCACAGGCCACAGGCCAACCCAATAGAGGAAACACCTCAGTTGAGGTTCCCTCTTCCCAGGGGTGTCAGGTTGACAGCTGAAGCTACTCAGCACAGAAGTTTAGTGGGGTGTCTACTTTAGTGGGGAGATGCTGGCGTGCCAGTTAAATATATGCATCCTGGGGAGAAAGTTCATTTCAGGAATCATAAGTTCAAAGATGGTCTTCAAAGACATGAGGCTGGAGGAGCTCACTTCAGGAGGGGGCAGAAACAGAAGGCAGTGGAGGCCTGCAAAGTTCAGAGGCTAGAGAAGAGGAACCTAGAGCTGAGACTAGATGGGGCCACAGAAGAGAGAGAAAATACAGACATATTAGTTACTCTTCTCATGCCTCTGACAAAAGCAACTTAAGGAAGGGTTTGTTTTGTCTTGTGGTTTAAGAAGGGATGCAGCCCTCATGACAGGAAAGGCCATCTTGTCTGCAGCAGAGGGCTGATAGGAAGTGGGGCAGGTTATAACATCTCAAGGTCCACCCCCAGTGACCCATGTCCTCCACCTCTTAAAAGTTCCACAACCTTCCAAATAGCACAGCTAGGGACCAAGTATTCAAACACATAAGCCTGGCAGGGGGGTGTGGGGCACAACACATTTCACATTCCTAATAGTAGCCCAAGCTGGCTTTGAACTCACAGTTCTGCTTCAGACTCCTGAGAGCTGGATTATGGGCATGTACCACCACACCTGGCACATATGTGGTGTTTATGTTGAATATACTTCAATAAACTGCCAAAAACAGGGACTTAGCAGTTAAGAGCACTGGCTGCTCTTACAGAGGACCAGGGTTTGATTCCCACCACTCACATGTTGGCTAACAACCATCTATAACTCCAGTTCCAGGAAATCAAATGACCTCTTCTGGCCTCCTAGGGCATTGCATGCACATGGGGCACTTGCATACATGCAGGCAAAACACTCATACACATAAAATGTAAATAAATTTAAAACACCAAAAATGAAGTTCTAAGAACTTTTTGAAATTTTCATACAAAGTCAAGTTTCCTTAATGCGTTTTGATAATTCTTTAACAAAAATCTCTAAAACTAAAGTCCACACATCTTTTATAGGCAGCAGGAATATTATGTTCTCTTCTGTGCCATGGAGCAGGAGGGACAAGCTTTTTAAATTTTTTAATTACACTTATTTATTTAGTGTGGGGGTACGTGTGTGGGTGCAGGTATGCCATGGTGTGTGTGTGTGGAGGTCAGAGGAGAACTTGCAGGAGTTCAGTTCTCTTTCTACCATGTGGGTCCTGAGGGGTCAAACTTGGGTCCTTAGGTTTGGCAGCAAGCACCCTTACCCACTGAGCCATCTTGCTGGCCCCAGGAGGGGACTAGTTTTGAAAGTCATTCTCCATTCTTGTGAGACAAGGTGGAAAGATGAAGAGACAGGTTTGGAAGTAAAAGAGTGGCTCACTGAAGTCAGGGCCCCTGTGGGCACCACCCTCCAGTTACAGCCCTGCTTCTCACATGCAGCCTTCTGGGGCAGCAATGGAATGGTTCTACGAGTGGTGGAGGGAAGAGAGGAAGACAAAATAACCAGGCTCCAGGGTAATGGCTTATAAATGGGGGCAGAGCTGTGCCAAGTCCCCTCTCAGTGTCTTGGCCAGCTTACTGTCCCCACTGGTATCTGCCCTCTCCCCTGGACACAAAGAGAACCCTGAGACCCGCTAGAGCCACAGAGCCACAAGGCCCAGCAGCTAGCCCTGTGTCCAGGCCAAATGACCATGGGACTTGAGCTGTAGCTCATTTGGTAAAGTGCTTCCTAGCATGCAAGCAGCCCTGGGTTCGACCCCCAGCACTGCATCAACAGGATTTGGTGATGCAAGCCTGCAGCCCCAGCATCCATGAAGTAGCCGCCAGAGGATTAGAAGCTCGCAATCATCCTCAGCTAGCCCAAGTTTAGAGCTAGCCTGGGCTACATGAGACCCTATCTCAAAAACCAAAGGAGGGGGAGCAGCAGCCTGGCCAACAGAGGGATGTATGGAATGTATGGTGACAGCAGCCCCAGCCAGGCCTGGCTTTGCACACCTAGAAGTATATGCATACACACAAGGTGAGTAGAGCTGCTATATAACGAGTCATATGCCTGGGCAAGATACTTAACGACTCTGGTTCTCAGTTTCCCTATCAACAGAATGGGGGTAACAGGAACGACTATCAACAGTTGTAATTAGAGGAGTTCCATATATGCTAAATGTTCACACAATTTCCTGGCACAAAGCAGACCTGTAATGTGATTAATATCACGGCACTACCTGTCTTCTTTAAACTCTCTCTCTCCACCACCAGCATGGTGTGCCTTTAATCCCAGCACTTAGGAGGAGGAATTCAGCCTGGTCTACATAGTGAGTTCCAGAACATCAAGGACTGCATAGTAAGACCCTATCTCAAACAAACAAAAACAACGGAAAAAAACACCAACCAACAATAAAATCCCATCCCTGTCCTTCCTTACCCCACACCCAGGCCTGTGATGCATGGCAGACCAAACACCCAGGCATTCTGGGTATTAAGGAATGTTCCCACCCACAGGTTGAGTTATTTGGGTTTGAAATTCTTATTTTATTCCTATCCTGGCTACTTAGAATCTCACAGAAAACCTATAATCCAGGCTGGGGTTGAGGTTGGGGAAAAGACACATCCTGGGTCAGCTGGTTCCTGCATGTCCTACCATCTCCAGCAGGGGGCGATGAGCACCCAGCTTTGCTTGGCACAAATCACTGCAGTCACTTGTGGAGCCGAGACCAGCTATGCTCCACCCTATCCACTTTCCACAGGTGACACCTCGTGCTATACCACTCAGCCTTAGCTTCTCAGTGTGTGAAATAAAGCTGTTTCCATCTCCGCCTCTGGCACTGGGTGTTCCCCCAGCCTCAGTCTTCCAAACTGTACCAGACCTTCCCTCTGGGGCAGTCCTCCTATTCCTGCACTAACAAGGGGCTTTCAAGTCACGTGGAGGCTTGCTTATCCCTTCCTTCCTCCCGACCCAGACCCCAAGCAACACAAATGAAAGAAAAAAAAAGAATCACTGTCTTTACTGTTTGATTGATTAATGAACTGACTTGGAGGAATGAATGGACTGGGGGTAGGGAGGTCTAGTTTCGAGTAGTCAGAAACTTCTGTTAATTGCGTATAAAATGTGAATGTTATAAAAAACCATGTAGAAAATGTTCATCAGAGTATGAGCCTTATAGAGGCTCAAGGCACCTGGGAGACTAAGACATGGTCTAACCTGGCATCTGAGGCACGGTACCAGGGCTACACCCAGCACTACCTGCCCCATGGAGCAAACACATTCTTCTCTCCCCACATACAAATCACTGCAAACTGACTCTCCAATGGGGTACTGTGACCACTGGCCAAGGCACTGCTAGAAATAAAATGGGCTGGCACTGAGCCCTGAGCTCCCTTCTCCAGGGCCCAGACCTAGAGCTAGGACATCTTGTCTCCCAGGTCCCACGGTGCTCAGGCTGCCCCTGGAAAGCACTGCTGTCAGACACTGCACATAGGCACCTACACCCTGGGTTTGATCAGTGCCACGTGTGGGCAACGTGGTCCTGCCCAGCTCCTGTGAACTGAGAGGTGGTATGCAGTACAATCCTGCTGGAGCTGCTGGGCCAGGCTGGGCCTTAATTGGGATAGCACAAGCAACACCCTGTGCCCGCTGTGTCCATGCTGGGCTTGGCACCAGGCCCCAGCAGCCCGTCGGTGACAGAGTACTCCATGATAATGTCTTCCACTCGGGTGATATACAGAAGCGTCAGCAGCACGCCTAGAAACTGGGGAGAGGGGAAGGGCTAGTGAGAGCCTGCCCGGCATCAGGGCAGCCTGCCTGGTAATTCCCTGGACCCACACCCACACAGCCCAATCTCCCACAGCCTAGGCAGCCCCAGCCTGGACTTCTGCCCCTCCCAGGAAAACTCAAACCTCCCGTGTCCTATCAGCCTCCTGCCTCCACCCTAGTTCTGCCACAGAATATCCAGGGAACCTTGAGAAAGTCACTTCACCTTGTGAAGGCTCAGTTTCCTCCTCTGTAAAGTGGGCATAGTATCACTCTAACCTCACAGAGTCTAAAGGCAGAGCGAAGCACTGAGTAAATGATACTATAGCCTTCTGTCCTCTCCTTCCAGACCCTAGCCCTCCTGGGGGGCCTGAACTCCCACCCTCATCACCCAGCCCTGCTCCAGCAACACCCATAGCCTGCCCACCTGGGGGAGCAGGATGCCCAGCAGGAGGCCGGCCATGATGGTGTAGTTGTCCAAAAACCAGATGAGCACGGCATTAGTGCAACCCCGCACGTGAATGACGTTCTGTGCACTCAGGCGCTGCAAGGAGTAATCTGTCAGTCGGCTGAGCGCAATCATCTGACTCCACCTCACCCTCCAGGACCAACCCAGTCCCTCAACTGCTCTGGGTCTGTTTTTCATATGTAATGTGGGAAGGTGGCCCTAGACCCTGGGCTCTCTAGCACTGATCCTGAGAGAGCCCTGGGTACATCATGATTGTACTTGACTGCAGAGCCTGCCTGTACATCTCTCAGATGCCAGCAGGCACTAGTGTGCATGGCAGGCACACACACACACACACACACACACACACACACACACACACACCACCTATCTACACCATTACCCGAGCCAAAAGCTCAACACCAGGTATATGTGAAACACTGTTTTCTGCATAGTTTTAATATACTGTGAAGTTTCTAGAACTGTTACATAAATGAAGCATTAAGATTTTCCACAAATGGAAAGTTCTACTTCATGAAACTTTGTTTCACACACAAACTTATTTAAACATCATATATTAGGAATGTGGCCACTGGTAGGTCACCTATGCTCCAGTGGATGGCCTCACACCCCTGTGTACATGGGCAGCACTAACTGTGCTCAGTGGGTCATCTGGGCTTGTTGATGCATGCCTCCAATTCCAGCACTCCAGAGGCAGAAGCAGGAGGATCTCTGTGAGTTTGGGACCAGCCAGAGGTACATGGCAGGACCCTGTCTTTAAAAAAAGAAAGCGGCAAACATGAAGTTTGGGAAAGGGATGTGGGGAGAGTGGGACAGGGGAGGTGGAAATGGATGTGATCAAAATATTGTGCACATGTATGAAAGTCTCAAAGAATAAAACTTTTGGAAAAAATCATAGACAGGGGGCTGGAGAAATGACTCAGTGGTTAAGAGCACTGACTGCTCTTGCAGAGGACCCAGGTTTGATTCCCAGCACCCACATGGCTGCTAACAGCCATCTGTAACTACAATTCCAGGGGATTCAACACCTTCTGACCTCCTTGGGCCTTGCACGACACAGGTGCACTTACCTACATGCAAGTAATACACTCATATACATAAAATAAAAATAATAAAATTTTAACTTTACATGTACAAAACATGGATAAGACATAAATAAACTTCATGTTTAGACTTAAGTCTCATTCCCAGGACATCTCATTAACTATATACAAATATTCAAAGATATTTTTGTGTGTGGATCTTTGAATAAAGGAAACAAACACTTGGGTCTCAAGCATCTCAGATAAAAGATACTACCTGTACTTTATTTTGTTCAGAACTTTACCAAGAATTGTTCCTTTTTTGATGGACTGAGGCTGAGTGCTGGTATGCTGCCCAGGTTGGCCTTGCCTGTCTAGGTTCAAGCAATCCTCCTGCCATGGCACCCTTGTTACCTGGGAGTACAGGTGTGCGCCACTGTACCCCAAAACACTGATGGCTAAAATGACACCTGTGGAATGCAAGTTACCACCAACACGCCCCGCTGTGGTGATCCTGGAGGTGATCTCTGGGCCTCTTCTTTGTGGGAGACATGACATTGGTTGCCTGAGCTCTCAGGTTGAAATCTTGTGGCTGTAAACTGCTTTATTTCTCCTTTGTCTTAGATCATTATGTTGACTGTTTTTTGAAGTTGGGTGTGTAGGCTTGTGGTAGTATCCATGAGTTTCATTTGGGGCATAAATTATTATACAGAATGTCCACTGGCTCTGGTAGGTTGAGGATCCTGCTGGTCTAGTGATCTTAGAGCTCAGCTTGTGCCAAGATCACCTGCGGAGCCCTGTCCCCAAAGTGTGCATCTCTAACAAGTTCCCACTGAGGTTGCAGTTTTTCAGGTCCAGGGAATCCACTTTGAAAACCACTGCTCAAATATCTCAGGTCACCTCTGTTTTTAGCTCCCTTCCTAGGAGTATCCTAGGAAGCTGATGCAGGGGTTACCCAGGGAAGGATGGCTCCTCTCCAGGGACTCCTGGGTCCCAGGCAAAGGGAACCAGTGTGAGCTGGCAACAAACTGCAGGGTTGGGCACACAGCATTCAAGGGGCACCGGAAGGGCACAATGCTTCACACGGACAAGCCTACCTGAAGCAGGCACTCAGCAAACCCAGGCAGGTGGCCTCTCTCAGATTCCTGAGCCCTTGTGTTTGGCAGTCCTGGCTCCAGTTTAGAGCTAGGGAGAGTTAGGAAATCTGGACAGCCAGGAGTCCCACCTCTAGAAACCCTCCATTATCCGGGGTAGGGGGGCGGAGAGAAAGAACACCATTTCTGGGGGCAAGGGGTTTCCAAGCTGTTACCTCTTTGTCGATAGTTTTGTAGCCGCACATGGTGTTGACGACATCTGTCTGTAACAGAAACATACCATAGCTGTCACTTCTGCAGGCCTTACTTTGAAGGACACGGTTACTTTACAACCCGCCCCCCCTTTTTTTTTCGGTCTTTTTGAGACAGGGTCTCCCTGTAGCCCCAGCTGTCCTGGAACTCACTATGTAGACCAGGCTGGCCTTGAACTCACAGAGATCCGCCTGCCTCTGCCTCCCGAGTGCTGGGATTGAAGGTGTCACCACACCCGGCTACAAACCCTTTTACAGATGAAAGAACTAAGGCACAGAGAGGCATACAGTCTAATGTAATATAATTGAGATCTCCTGCCTGCAGCAGTCTAGCTCCAGCCCAGTGAGGAACCATGGGAAGATCCCTCCACACTGGTGTGCTTATGGGGGATGGGGCACCCCTCTACCAGCAGCAGCCCAGGTTCCCAGCTGTGAGCACCCCTAAGCCACCACTATACTGACACAACCATACTTCTTAGAGCCTGGAGACTAGTGGTTCCCACTCCACTGGCTTACAGGAAGGAACTGCTCAGGCTACAGCTAGGCCCCTGCCAGCTGTGATTTACCTGAGGGCAAGGCTGGATCACTGGCAACGCTTTCCCATCAGGGAGCCACATACGTTCCTCTGGAAACAGGGCTGCTCTTCAGGACCCTCTGCTGACTTAGAAACGAGGAACCCTGAAGCTAGGCCCTTAACCCCTCAAATCTCTTCCCATCACAGCCTGCTCCCTGCATGGTTGGACCTTTAGCCATAAGAGGGAGAAATAGATCCCTGGGACCATCCTGAATCCAGCCTGGTCCCTACTAGCTGTACCTCCATATGTGAGGACTCTGCAGGGCTTGGGAGTCATGGGTACCAGTGACAAGGCTGGAAAGCAACAGCAGAGCAGCCAGCATGGGCTCTGAGGTCACTTCTGGGATCCAGAGACTGCTCTGCACCAACCTCAGATGGCTAGGGAGGCAGTGGCACTTGATGGATTTTGGTGAATGACTGAGTGGATTCCACAGAGGCTGGGGATGCTCAGTAAACCCACCTCATGAATGTTTGGTCATAAATGATATATACAGGGGCTGGAGTGATGGTTCAGTGGTTAAGCTTCACTGGCTGTTCTTACAGAGAACCCAGGTTCAGTTCCCAGCACCCACATGACAGCTAACAACTGTCCGTAACTCCAGTTCCAGGGCATATGATGCCCTCTTCTGGCCTCTGTGGGCACTGCATGCATGTGATGCACTTACAGACATGCAGGCAAAACACTCATACACAGTTTAAAATATATATACATAAAATGTTGTCACAGGGACATATGGATAAAAGGGCTCTGGCTAGGGTGACAGTTCCTGGAAAAGCAAAGGGCCTCTCTCCCTCCAGGAGTCAAGGCTGGCCCAGATGTTACCAGGTCAGGGCTTGGTGTGTGCAAAGTAACCTTCCTCAGTTAAGACAGTCCCCTAAGTGCCCTCAGATTCAGCAGTGCCCAGTACTTACATGGCACTGATTAACCCATGTTTGGGAATATGACTCCCAGGGAAAACATCAGTCATTTGCCCACTGAACAAACATTAATTGGCACCCATTGTATGCCAGCTACCATTCTAGGTACTTGGAGTACAGAACAAAGTCCCTGCCTCCAAGGGCATCTAGAAGACTGGTAAGGAAACTAGCAAGGAATGACGTAAGAGTGACTTCCCTGGGCAGCCCAAGGCAGGACTGTGCAGTGCTAGCGGCCCTGCAATGCCTGGAAGACCCAGCAGTGTGAGGGTTTGGCTCCCTTAGCCCAGCACAAACCAGTGTGGAACAATTATCCATGTAGGTATAACCAAGGCCTCCACCCAAACCTCACCATTGCTCCACACCTCCTTCCTGGGCCTGGCCTCTAACTCTGCCCTTCAGCAGTGGTTGACCTAAGAGCACTTCCTGTTTGTTGTCAGCATCTCAAGGTTAACTTCTTGGACAGGCTGACCTGCGATCCCTGAATCACTAACCCTGTCACTCATGGGAACACCAGAGCTCTGTCTATGGCATTCAGGACACTTCCCATCATCCTCCCTTGAGCTCAGCCTGCTCCAGCCACATGCTCTCTGCTGTTTTCCAAACACACCAGGGCCTTCCCATCCCAGGGCCTTTCCATTTGCCACCCTCTCTGTCAGGATACCCCTCTCCCAAACACCTGCATAACTCTCCCCTCACTTCCTTTAGGGTTTTATTCAGAACCCACCTTCTCGGTATCTAAAACTGCAGTTCCCTGCTTTTTCCCCAGCATCTCCTAACATGCCGTCTTCCACTTATTTTGTCAGTTGCCCCCACTATGATATCATTCCCATTTGTCCAGACTTCTTTTTGTATATGCAGTCCCCCTAGAACCTAGCAATGTGGCTGGCACACAGTAGGTCTTCAACCAATGTGGAATGAATGAACACAAGTTGGGCTTACACACTTCATCACAGACATTCAAGGTACTACCATGAGTGATGAAGTTTGGGGTTACCTGCTGTGATTCTCTGAAGACCCTGGGAGCCCTCCACAGCACTCACCTGGCCCAGGGTTCTCCCCTAAACCAGCAAGTGTCAAAGTCCCTCCAGCCTCCCTTGGCACTGCTCCAGACTCTGGGTGAGGCCCCACCCACAGCTGTTCCATTTCCATGGTTACAGACTGAGGCCAGTGGGCACAGCTGGCAGAGACGTCAGCAAGAGACTTCCCATGAGTGTTTAGGGCTGAAGTAACTGCCTGGCATTCTGTTCTGCTCCAGACCAGAAACCAGGCAGTTCTTGACACATTTGTCGGACTCCAGGGCTGACGAAGGGATAAGCACAAAGCTCAGCATCCCAGATGACTGAAGTAACAGCTGAGGGGAGTGTGGTAGGGAGAGGCAGAGGCTGGCATTTACATCCCCAGACCCCCTTAGTGCCAGAACTCGTGTGCTGCTCCCCACACCAGTGCTGCACTCTGCCTGCAGCTGACAGGGTGGAGCTGGCTGCCCCCGCTGAGCACCCTCCAGCCCTCTCCAGGCTGGCACTGCTGCATTCCATCCAAGCCCTGTCAACCCTGGGCAATCACCCAACTTTCTGATGCCTCCATTTCCTCATCTGTAAAGTGGGCAAAGTAACAGTAGCCCCCTCAACAGGGCTGTTATAGGTCCCCACATGCATGTGCTCATGGGATGCTAACTGACACACTCGCAGAAGAAGGCCTCCCTCCTACCCAGCTCCCCTTTGCTGGATCCCTTGGGCTCAGGAATGCATGGGCACTAGCCTCCATCTCCTGCCCACTCCCACCCTCTGTTCCACTAGGACAGAATGAGAGCAGTATTTGGACAGCCAGAAGGACTCCCACCCCGACCCCGTTCCCACCACTGAGCAGAAGTACCGTGTTCCTGATACAGCAGGTGTAGGGTACCCCGCAGGCCAGGGGCCCCGGGGCGTTGCAGTCGTGGTACTGGTTTTTACTCCAGTCTTGGTAGTCCTCCCCGCCACAGCACTTGAACTGAAGGGGAAAGCAAACAGAGAGGAGCTGCCAGGAGAAGGTACGGGTGGGGAGCATGGAGTACCACAGCCATGGGTACATCAGGTCAGAGCTGTCGAGGGTAGCAGTTCAGGAGGCAGGGGGATCCACCCTGGAGAAGCATGCAAGGCAAGCCTGGGCTACTTCAAGATGGACACCAAGGATGGACACGGGAAGCAAAGTCTGTCTCTGGCACTGCTCTGCACCTTCTTTCCCATGCCCCAGGGGGCAGGGGTCTGGCTGGAGCAGAAAGCTTCAGAGGCCAGATCCTGCAGAGGCCCCACTCCATGTTGCCCTTGGGGGCACGCACACCTGCCCCAGGTTCTCCTCTTAGCTTCCCCACTCCCACCTCTCCTCTCGGTGCCAGGGTCAGCTCCTGGGGGCAGCAGTGAGCAGCTCTGTAGAGGTGCTGGCTGAGCTGGCCTATCATGAGCTCTGTGGAGAGGGGAGTCCAGCTAAATGAACACGGCATCTGGGCACACTGGCTGATGCCTGGAATCCCAGCAGGAGAAACACTACAAGTTTGAGGCCAATCTGGACTACACAGTGAGTTCCTTTTCTCAAAAAATTCCCAACCGTACCAAACCAACCAACCAAAAAAAAAGGCCAGGAAGGGGATGCTATATACCTGCACATGGGGGACAGCAGGGGAGGGTGGGGTGGCTTTATGTTGGGAGGACAGGAAAGGCTGCTTGAAGGAGAGGACATTTCATCTGAAACATGAACAAGAAAGAGGCAGTCAGCATGTATGTGCAAAGGCCCTGTGCAGAAACAAGGCCGTATTTCAGCAGCAGGTGTAAAAGCCAATGTGTCTGTAAGACAGTGGAAAGGATGAGGTCCAGGGAACAGCAGCCCAGTGTACAAAAACCCAGCAGCCAGGGCAAGCTGGGAGCTGGGACTGTGTTCCAGGAGTGGGGAGCTGACCAAAGAATGCTGTGGTAGGAGGTGCTGGTAGACACACAAGCCGGGCACCCTTCTGGAGTCCCCAGAGCTCACTGTAAGCCATGAGCTCTCAGGACTTCCAAGTGCCTATCTGCAGTGCTGTTCAAAAGGCATTTGCTCTGGCACCAGACAGATGCACACTCAAATCCTCACATCACCACTCCAGCTGTGTAACCATAGGTAAGGCCTCTCTGGGCCTCGGAACCTGTCTGCTAGAAAGGGCAATGCCAGCTTTGCATGGCTGAGTTGTGACTATGAGAGACTCTGCATAAAGCATTCTGCACAAGACCCAGTGAGCGTTAGTTACCTCCTACCCCCACCCTGGGAGAAATTAAGTCCCCTAGCCAACTAACGGTTGGTTCCAATAAAAACATCTTGCTGTACCGAGTGACTCGGCTCTCCCAGCCAGGGCTGGCAGGCATATCACTGGCAGGAAAGAGCTGCACCTGTTCTGCCTACAGAGAAGCTCAGAGCCAAGGGCCCTGGGTGTGGTGAGAGGCTGGTCCCCACTGAGGGCTAGTACAGGGAACCAGGCTCACCCAACTGCAAGGTCATGTCCCAGGGGGTATTGCCAAACTCAGGGGACTTGTGGCCCTCCCACTTCACTATCCTCACCCAGGTAAATGAAAGTGACCCCGCCACACCTGACCTTGCACTAAGCACTTCTGAAAGAAGTCAAGGGAGTTCTCAGCCATGCCAAGGGGAAGAACCAGGGTGCAGACAAAAAAACCTGGGCCTTAGGACTACGAAGGAGGTAGGTGAGCTCCAGGGACAGGGTGTTCCTCCTGCTGTGGCAACTATTGACCCACAGCCTGGCCTGGGCCTCAGGGAGAGGGACAGTGTCCCAAAAGGGCATGTGATCATCATCACTTTTTCCTGTGCCCAAAAATTGGGATTGGGAGAGAGTTTTCTCCCTGCCTTTGATGAAATGAGCTCCTTGCACCAGAGGAACCTGGCCTGCAAGGTCGGCCAGTCTTGAGAAAAGACGATCCCTGGCAACCAGAGGGGGTGACTTCTGGGCCCCGCAGGTGGCTGGAGCTACATCTAGTCTCATTAAAGGTTGTTTCTCACATGCTTGAAGGGTTATCCCTGATCCACCCTTGCCTCCCAATTGCTTTGGGAATGGACAAGTCACCTGACCCTTCCCTCCCACCTCTCTGCAGGGAGGGTCCTGGAGGCACCCCTCTGACTCCAGGCCCCTTAGCTTACCTTCTTCTGAACAAAGTCCATAATGTTTTTGAAGTCTAAGTCATCGTAGTAATTCTCGATTCCTCTCCGAATATTGTCATTCAGAAAATCGATCGTCTATTGAGAAGGAGAAATCACCAAGGAAAAAGAGCACACATCAGAGGCCAGCCCTAGAATATTCTAGAAGCCCAGATTGGGACCGAGAACCATGTACCCAACAGCTCCCATCTGCTTGCATGGAATGTCCTCTCCACTCCCCATCATGAACACCCACAACCACCCAGCCCATGGGCATTCCTCAGGCCTTCAATGCCCAGGCTCTGAGAGGCAGCCTGCCAGGTTCTAGCTCTGAAGCAGCCTACTGGAGCTGGGCCTCAGCGCCTCCTGGTTTCTGGCTTGTATTCTCTCCAACCCAGGACAGGACTAAGCTTGAATCTTCCTTTTGTCCTCCAGCCCTCTCTCCACACTCACCATCCAACCTCTTGCTTTACAGAGAATGAAACTGAGGCCCCAGGGGAAGGGGACCATAAAGCTGGGAAAGGAGGAGGGCAGAGGGGACAGACTTGTCCTGGGTCACAGAGCAGGTGTCTCAGGGGCCTGCCTGGTCCGGACTTGAAACCAGGTCCCCTGACACTCTACATGGGCTTCTTTTCATCACTCAGTGCTCCGACACATGGGGCCACAGAGTCCCCTCCCAGCTTGGCCTGACTGATCACCACCCGGAAGGGCACTGGCATGCTGCCCTCTCCCAGTCACGCTGGACTTTCTGGATCAACAGCCGGCTTGTGCCGAGATCCCTGGAACACAAAGGCCCCACAGCAGGCAGGGCTGGGGCGAAGAGAGTGGGCAGCCCAGCCCCAGGCTCGCTGTGACAATCAGAGCTTTCAGAGCAGAGGCAGAGCACCAGCAGAGACTGGGGACAAAGGGGCATTCTTGGCTCTGGTGCCAGATAGAGGAGCTAGATAATTCCTGGGGGAGGCGCCATGGGATACACTGGGATGGCAGGGCTCAGATTCCAGGTCCCCTCAAGGCTCAGTTTCCTACTGGTAAACCACCCTGGCGGGCCCATCTTCAAGAAACCTTCTAGAGCTGACGATCAAAGAATAAGCTTAGGGACCATCAAGCCTCATATCAAGGGCACAGTCCCTGCAGTCACAAGGCTTCAGACACTTAATTTCCAAGATCCTTTCTTCACAAAAATAGAGACAAATACAGTGTGCCTGCTGGGGAGGTCATGAGGTTAAGCTACTCAGTGCTCAGGTGATGATGGCTATATGGTGGGTATTATAGCTGTCTCAACATTTTCCCAAGTGACAAATCCCACAATCTCTAGGGGAGCTAAGTAAGGTCCACCATTTGTCCCAAAACTTCCTACCATGGGGGCGGCCCCTGTAGTGAAAGGGTTCTCTGAGACACCTGCAGCTCTGAGACCCACGTGACTTGTCAAAGTCCTCCAGCTGACCATGGGCAAAGGTGCTGCCACCAGGATGCTAACACACTGGACACACTTCAACATGTGCTAAGAAGGCCAGGTTCAGATATGGCTTCTCTCTACAAAAAGGCACAAGGTGGCTGCCTTCTCCCAAGAGCCACACTGCTCAGAATGAGGTGAGGGTAGAGGCTGGCTGGGGGAGCCAGGAGGAAACCCCTCTGCTGATGACCAAGAAGAAAGAAAAAAATTCAGGCTTCTAGAAGAGGTTCTGAGGTCACCAGCCCACAGTCCTCCATGGATCTGGCACTGGACCCCAAGGTGGGGGTTGAGTGGAACATCTGCCTGCCAGGCACACTGTGTGGACAGAACAAGGACCAGCCTGACCTCAGCCTGACCCCCCGTCTAACCTCAGATGCTTATTCCTCTGGGTGATGAGGGGACAGGACAGCTGGCTGGGGCGTGGTGGGGGATAAATGAGAAACAGGACGCCAGGGTGAGGTCTGTCTGCCATCCAAGGTGGGGCAAGGGAATGAGCACACAACATTGAATGACATGTTGCAGGGGCCTTGGCTGAGCTGAGCGTGTGGATGACACCAGGGTCAGGGACATGCCTAGAGCCACAAGAGTGGGGATGTGATGTGGGCAGCTTCTCTCTACTGTTCAGGCATTGGGAACACAGTCCTGGGTCACCATGGGCCTTGGGACTTGCCACAGCCCACTCTGACATCCACAGGGTTCTTTCCCTTGGGGCTAGCCACAGGGTGTGGTCAGAAGGCCTGAGATAGGAGGAAGGGTGACGAAGGGAGGCTGGTGGCCCATGGAAAGACTCTCTCCTTGTCTGGGGCATTTACTGGCACCTCCAAGGCAGAGCTGTGTGAGGACCAGCTTGCCATATGGTAAGCTGAGCTGTCCCTGTGGAGAAGAGAAGCTCTATGAGGAGGCCTGGGGAACCTTCCTGAGGGGACAGGAGGGACAGATGGTCCTAGGCCTGGGGCAGCAGCTGCCTCATCTCCCATGCAGAGGCTCTTTGGGTCATCCTGGGCCGCTGAAAGCACACACTGTGTGTATTTGTAGGGTGTGTGCGTGTGCGTGTGTGTGCATGTGCTTGTGTGGTGTTTGTGTGCTGTATTTGTATGATGTGTGTGTTTGTGTGGTGTATTTGTGTGGTGTATGTATCTGTGTGAGATGTGTATGCTATGATTGTGTGTATATGTATTTGTATGTGACTGGTATGTGTTTGTGTGCAGTATGTGTATTTGTGTGGTATGTGTGTGTTTGGGTGGTGTATTTGTGTGGTGTGTATATGCATTTGTGTTTAAGTGGTATATGTGTGTTTGTGTACAGAATGTCTATTTGTATGATATGTATGTGCTGTTTGTACTTGTCTGATCTCTCTCTCTCTCTCTCTCTCTCTCTCTCTCTCTCTCTCTCTCTCTCTCTCCCTGTCTCTCTGTGTGTGTGTGTTTCTTGGGGACATAAGCAGGGTACTGAGGTGACCCCTGGGCTGTGGCCATTGAAGAGAGGTAAGTGAAAAAGTCCCACAAAGTCCTCAGTTTGTTAACTGTAAAGTGCTGACTAGTGTTGGAAGCACTAGTCATGATCCAAGGGACACGGGGCCAGTCAGAGCTGTGCCCTGTGGGGACAGGCCTCTGTTAGGGACTGGCTTCCACATTTGTTTCCAGAGGCCAAGCACAACACTGTCACCACACCCAGCTCTTTTTTTTTTATTATTATTATTATTTTATGTGTATGCATGTATTGCCTGTATGTAGGTAAGTGCACCCGTGTTGTACAATGCCTGCAGAGGTCAGAAGAGGCTGTTGGATCCCCTGGGACTGGAGTTAAAGACAGTTGTTAGCTGCCATGTGAGTGTTGGGATTCAAACCTGGGTCTTCTGCAAGAACAACCAGTGTTCTTAACCGCTGAGCCATCTCTCCAGCCCCCACACCCAACTCTTAACCAGGTCACAGGAGCAGAGGCAGCCACAGGAAGCAAGTCACCTTTCACCAGGGCAGTAATGGCCTCAGAGGGTCATGTGATCCAGAGTAAGTAAACATCAAAAGTCACGTGACTTTGAAAGCATGTTAAGCCACCAGATAAATGCAGATCTGTCCTTTCCAGAGTTTTTCTCCAGATCTGGACTGCCAGCAAAAAGCATCTGATAAGTCTATATGTCTCTGGGAGAGGTCTCAGACTGTCTGCAATGGTTAAGGGCACGTGGCACAGCTTTCTGTGTAAGGGACAAGAGTGAAGGGGTCCTAGAGCTTCCCACAGGCTGGCTGCTTCAGAATAGCCCCTCTGGGGATAGACCCATTCTCCGCAAGCTTCTGTCAGTTCCCTGACATTGCCTGAGACCCCAGGCAGGGGGTAGGGGTTCTCAACTCTATCTCAGGAGCCTCCTGCCTTTAATTTCAAGGTGTGCTAAGCACCAGCTAGTTTGTTATGCTAGGGCAACATAATCAGGTCGGAGCCGAGCATGGTGGCACACACCAAGCATGGTGGCACACACCTTTAATCTCAGCACTTGGAAAGCAGTGGCAGGTGGATCTCTGTGAGTTCAAGGCCAGCCTGGTCCACATAGTGAGCTCCAGACCCTGTCTCAAAAGACACACAAAAAAGAAGATAAGCAGGCTGGCACTCCAGCTATTCCCTGGCCTGGCATGGAGAATGACCACCAATGAAGACAGAAAGTTGCTCATGGCCAGCCTGTCCTGCCGGGAGAGGCAGCAAGAGGCCTGAGAGAGGGGTCCAGACGTACCAGCTCTAGCTCAGAACCTTCCAGGTTTCCTGTTCAGCTCTGCCACTTCTGACATTCCCCACACCCCACAAGAGGCCCCAGGGCAAGTCAGGACAGCAGCAGGTGTGGTGAGTCCAACTGAGATTGTAAGGTCACCAAGGCCCCCTCCCAGCCCACAGTCAGCCTGCTGCCCACTTTTCTGCTGATCCCTGCTTGGCTCCCCAGCTCACACTGAGCATCCATACAGGCTGAGGAGCCACTGCACTCTGACAGCTGGGTCCCCAGGCTGCGGAAGCCTCACCTGGCTCGGGGTAGTTTTCCTCACATCTACACATCTTTTACCAACTGGCCATGGCTAAGGGCCTGGTGTGGTAACTCTGGCCTGGGTACTAGTTCTCAGTTGTCACCATGAATTAGATTTTCATAATTTAACAGGCAGCCCATGGTGCTGGGCCCTGAACTTGTTCTACAACGGCTCAAGAAATGTGCCTTTTCTTGATGATAATGAATCAATGGACTTGCTTCTTCTCTTGCCCCCATAATAGAAGCTGACAAGACTGCTGATTGTTCCTCCTTTCTTCCTCTCATACCCCTCCCCCACCCAGCAGTATGGCCACTCCTTCCTCCATGGGTTCAGCACTGGCCTAGCTCCCATCTTACAAAATCACTTTGTCTTAGAACTGGGAGGGACACTTTGTTGCTGTTTTTAATGTGGCATTTTCCCCCTTGACCATAAAAAAAAAAAGAAAATGATAAAGGAGACAATAAAAATCACTCTGGTTCCATCCCTCATAGGAAGTGGAGTAACTATGTTAATATTTCTGTTTCCTGAAGTGTTTTTCGAGACCTTTTTTCTTCTTTTTTGAGATAGGGACTAGCTTTGAAACTTCTATAGGCAGCGAAGTTGCAGTCCTCCTGTCTCAGTCTCCCAAGTTCTGGGATTACTGGTGTACCCCACCACACCTGCTCTGCTTTAACATTTTAAAATTGTAATAATATGATACTGTGATAGTTTATGGTATATGTAGAGACAGGGTCTTACCAAATATCCTTGGCTAGTTTAGTGCTCACTATGTAGCCCAGGCTGGCCTCAATTTGCAGCAATCCTCCTGCCTCAGTCTCCTGATGTTACAGTAGAAAGAAAAGCCCTTTGTCAAGAGAATAACAAATCTCTGGCCTGAGTGGAGCCTTAACTTTCCAGTTTTGCCAGGTCAATCACCTGTTACAGGACCACCCCTAGGTAGGTGGGTTCACCTAAGTTATGCTGAAGAAATGGGTGGAATACCTAGTGTGTTAATGTGTTAAGAAGATGGTGGACTTGTCCTGCCCAGAACCAGGACACAGGCATGCAGCTAGCTTTCTGGAAGTACGCCAAACACAGAACAACACAGCCTCTCCTTCTATCTCTTTTCAAAGCATGCTTTCCGGAAAGCCTTGGGCTGCCCCAGCATTTGGGGTTTCTTTACTCTTTCCTAAAGTTCTCACCTTCCCCATGTGGCTGCTAGTCTCCCAATCATGTGCCCTCCATGCTGGCTATAAACAAGCATGGCTTTCTAGCTTTTTCCATCCTCCTCCTCAGGGCAGTTGCTGAGACTTATTGCTGCCCTGAGGGTTTTTCTTTTAAACTCAAATAAAATTATTCTAAAGCTCCCGTTTGAGTCCATTCTTAAATTCATTTTTTGTTGTTTTAGTATTTTGAGGCAGATCTTCCTGTAGCCCCAGCTGGCCTGGAACTCACTACATAGACCAGGCCGGCCCAGTCTCACAGAGATCCACTTGTTTCTGCCTCCCCAGTGATGGGATTAAAGTTGTGTGCTACCACACCCCATCTATTCTTGAATCATCAATGAGACTAGGAACCCTAAAGAGGGACCTTGTTTTCCCTTGTATCACCACGTCCTGGGAGTAGAGGCTTGTATCGCTAGCCAGTCTTGTGAAACTATTTTGCATGTATGTTTTCATTCATTGTTTCTTGTTCATAACTTCTTCCCTAAGGCAGGACATAGAAACTAGACTCTCCCATCCATCCAAGTACTAACCAGGCTTGGCTCACCTTAGCGTCTGAGCCAAACGAGATCAGGTGTCAAGATATAGCACAAACCTTTTAATCCCAGCACCCAGGAGACACAGGTAGGAGGATCTCTGAGTTCCAGGCCAGCCAAGACTATGTAAGGAGACCCTGTCTCAAAAAAAAGAAAGACAGATCAATGAAGGAAGGAAGGAAGGAAGGAAGGAAGGAAGGAAGGAAGGAAGGAAGAGGAAGGAAGGAAGGAAGGAAGGAAGGAAGGACTAGAACCTCTTTTCCTAGGAGGGTCACAGAAACTATAATCTTCCCCATTTTGGGGGGGCCACAGAGATTTGCTCTGGCCCACCCTCATCTGATAAGGCCATTAAACCCTCCTTATTCCAGGATCCTGCTAAAAACTCACAAGGGAAGAAAGCTGAAGAATCTAGACAGGCCCCACTGGGTCTCCCCACAGCCCACAGGCAATCACATGGTTTTCCATGAAAACCCCACAGATAGGGTCTGGAGAGCTGAACACAGGAGGGTCCTAGAGGTGAAACACCAGCTGGAAGCTGCACCCACCTTCTCCCAAACATCTCTTTGTATATTTTAGAATAGCTTTGGTATTTGTTTTGTTTTGAGCAGGGTTTCAAGTAGCCGAGGCCTGCCTCAAATGTGCTAAGTAGCTGAAGGGTAGCCATGAACCCCTGACCCTCCTGCCTCCCAAGTTCTTGGATTACTGGCATACCATCACCCTAGTTTATGGTGTTGGGGATCAAACTTAGCTTTGTGCATGCTAAGTAAGCACTCTACCAACTGAGCTAGTTTTATAATAAACCCATGAACCTATATTTCTCTGAGCTCTATGAGCTGTTGGAGCAAGTGATTAAACCTGAGGGAAGGGGCTGGGACTTATAGCCACAAGCACAGGCACAAGCACCAAAGGGGAGGAGACAGTCTCGGGGGCTAAGCCCTCACCTGTGGGACCTGGTGTTATCTCAGGTAGACAGTGACAGATTGGACTAAGTGAGGACACCCATTGGTGCATCCCAGAATGAACTGCTTGCATGTGGAAACACCCCAGTCACCACATTTGGGCTTCACAGTAGTGAGGCACACTTTTCTACAGATACTACAGCCCTGAGTCTCCACACAGCTGAGGGCCCCCAGGCTGCACATTGAGACCCCTGTGAGGGGGTCACTGCATCCAAGCAGAGAGGCACATACTTCATAGGCCACGGCACCCCCAGGGTGTGGGGGATAAATAGAAAGGCATTCCTGGCCCAGGGTTTCCTGAGCTGTGAGGACCGAAGGCTTCAAGAGGCTCCCAAGAGGCTCCCCAGGCTGTGGCCTTCACTTGGCTCAGTTCCCCAACTAGAAAAAAGGAGGTGATGTCACAGTCCCCACTGACCTACAAAAAACACTGGAAAATGACAAATCAGGCAGCCTTGGCGAGGCATGCTGGAACCAGAATTGCAGCTCACTTAGGAAGAGATGGGTTTATTAAGGCTGTGGATGGTGCTGACCACAAGCTTGCCCTGGGGTTCAACCAGGAAAGGGCTAACCCAGAGTTCTGCAAGGCCACTAGCTGGACAGGGAACCCTGCTAACCACATAGAAAAGCATCCCCTCATATAAACAGAATAAACACCTCTCTCTATTCAAGGCTACTGGGAAGTAAATCAGTATCCTGCATCTGCCAACTCAGAGCCGATGGTCTAAAACACAGGAAAAATGGAAAGGAACCAGGCATGGCAGTGAATGCCTGTAATCCCAGCACTTGAGAGATGGAGGCAGGGGGACCAGGAGTTCAAGGTCATCCTTGTCACATAATGAGTTTGAGGCCAGCTTAGGATAGATAGGACTCTGTCTCTGTCTCAAAAAAACAAATAAATAAAATAAAAGGGAAAGGGAACAACAGGTAGCAAGGCAGGGCGAAGAGTCCTGTCTTGCTGTGTGTTCTCAGAAGTTTCTTAATCTCTCTGTGCACTGATGACTCTCCATCAATACAATGAGAGAGAACTACCTCTCTCCCCTCCTGGAACTCACCCACTGGGAAGCAGACCCTGGAGTCCCAAGGCCTGTAGAATTGCCTAGTGTTGGGGCCCACTGCACATGTGGTTCCTGTTTCCACTGGGGTTAGAATACCACCATGCTCATGAAGAATGTGACAGAGTTAGGACACAGATCTCTTTGTGTGTTCCATACACCCCAGTGTTCAGGAGAGTGACTGCTGCCTTTGGACCAATTTCTAACAAGAAAGGCGATTCAGCTGGAGCCTGGAGGCATGGTCTCAACAGTATGTGGAAGGCCAGGGACCAAGCTGTCTGGGAACAGTGGGGTAAGGACAGGGGAGGGTAAAGAGAGACCTGGGCTTCTGAAACAGGCCTTGCTCATAACACCCAAGGCAGAAAAAGACAGAGGAGGGAGGATACAGGAGAAAAGACAGAGCCCGGTGTGTAGCTCAGAGGTAGAATGCTTGCCTAGCATGTGCAAAGCCCTGGGTTCCATCCCAGTATCGCAAAGAAAAAAAAAGGAATACCCTAAGTTCAAAACTACCCCACTCCATCACTAATGGGAACTTGTAGAAGAAATGCTGAGGAGGGTCTAGTACGTGCCTGAACCACGCCACATTCATCATCTTTTCATCCTACCCTCACCTTAAACTCTAAGTGAGGGATCAGGATCCCAGAGGTCAAGTAACCTCCCAAGACCCCACAGCTAGTACGAGGCACTAACATATGAACTGCAGTGAAGGGGTTAGAAACTTGTGTGGGTCTGTGGGGCCCTCATTCTGCAGACACTACAGGAACTGGGAGCCGGTGTCACCTGCTCAACATGTCCCTTCCCTCTATCCTGTGCCCAGCACAATAGTCCAAAACACATCAAATCTTATGAACCAACAATGCCCAGGATCACTGGTCTCCACTTCTAAGGGGGCCATCACCCTTTTTCCCTGGATTCTTCCCTGTATAACTGTCATGGCCTCCCTGCTGACCTAAGTGACATAAGTCACTCCTGTTTCCCAACTGCTTGTTCTCCATCTGACAGCTAGAGTGAAATGTCACACACACACACACACACACACACACACACACACACACACACACCTCCAACAATTTACCACCTTTCAAAAGCATTCTGATCTTGGGTCTCCAAAGACTCACATGACCCTAGAGCCGTCCAACCTCACCTTTCATTCTCCTCACGCCTACCCCACCAGCCAAGCAGCCTCCACACTGTAGTGTTCTGTCCACCAGCTCCCTCTGCCTTGGCCCACCCTGCTGCCCCTTTTCAGGACCTATCACTGCCTGGGCACAAGCTCTCTCAAATCACCCAGGTTCATTTTCTAAATTACTCCAGAGAGGCCATCTGTTTGCCCTACACTGCCCACTGCAGTATCCTGAAACTAGCCCAGGGCACACACAGTGGATGCTCGGCACATGCGCAACAGACGCTGAACCCACAGGCCCACCTGGTTCCGGAAGATCAAGGCCACCACACCACCGATGAGTTCCATTATGAGACAGATCCCCAGGATGTACATGAACTAGAAAATAAAATTCAGAGATTCGTCTGGAGTAGGGGTCAAGGGTGGGGTAGAAGGCACTCAAGGGATAAGCCACCTGGCTCTGAGATTAACCATAAGTGGCAGGTCTCCCAGGCTCTGGGCCTGATGTCTTTCCTCCTCAAGAACACAGAGCCACAGGGCAAGATGGCTCACACCTTTAGTCCTAGCACTAGAGAGGCAGAGGCAGGTGGATCTCTGTGAGATAGAGCCCAACCAGGTCTACATAGTGAGTTCCAGGCCAGGTGGGCTATAGGAAGACACTGTCTCAATTACCCAGAAATAAAAAAGAACACAAAGCTGTGCTGGGGAAAGCCCAGGTCTGGAGGGTGACTGAGCTGCCCTGGTCTCAGATAGTGCATGCTTGTCCAGGATCTCAGTGGGGTCTAGATGAACAGCATGTCCCTCCTCCAATTGGAGAGATGGGCCTTGCTCCAGCACAGAGGTGGTAGGCCTGGGCAGCACTTCTAGTCCCTACCCAGGGCCCCACCCCCATAACAGCTGAGAAGTGGCTTCCCAGGTAATCGAGTGTGGATGGAGATGCCTAAAGCTTAGAGGATACATACTCCAATCCCCTGATTCCAACGACTTCCAGATTTGGACAGTACCAACATCCTGCTCATGTGAGACTGCAAGCCTTTTCCATCAGAGGGCAGACGGTGAAGTGAACACACACACATCGATGGGAGTAGACTCACCTACCCGCCATCCCTAGGTTTGGGGTGCCATCCCTCAGCCACAGTATAGGAGATGCAGGTTGGGTTGACCACAACCCGTGACCTGATAGTCATGTGATCTGAACCAGGCCCTCCAGGGTGTTGGGACTCTGGGCAGAGTGTCCAGGGAAGATGCCCCGGGCTAGAAAGCAGTAAGGACTCTGTGGGCCCGAGGAGGAAGCTAGGCAGGAACAGTCCTACTCAGAGGAGGCAGAACAGACCACCCAACCTTGCCCACGGAATCCAGATGATCACAGAGTCTAGGTACGAACACCATTCAAGTCAGCTGTGTGTAGATATGAGGTGGGTGGGCTTAACCTGGACCACCATGCTCCGATGGCTACTCTAGGATGCTCTGAGGCAGCTGGAGTGTGATGAGGCCTGAAGGAGCTGAACTGCCCAGAGCTGAGAGACAGGCTCTTCAGCTTTCTTAGCAATTCCAAGACCCGTCCCCCCACATACACACTGACCTAAGGGCTGGGGGCGGGGGGGGTACTTACTGACTGGAGAAGGCACAGGTTGTCCCGGAGGGAAGCCAGCACTCCAATGAAGGAGACAATAAACATGACGACTCCCAGGAGGATGAGGATGACGGCTGGGGCCAGGAAGGCACTCTCGAGGGTTTTGTACTTCTGCCGCTCAACTTCCGCGTAAATCCCCACGGACAGGACCAGGCCCCCGATCAGCTGCACAGAAGTTAAGAGGTGAGGGGCTTGGGGATGTACAATAGTTCAGTTGGCAAAGTGCTTGCCTAGCATGAACGAGGCCCTGGGTTTGATCCCCTTATATGGAATAAGTGGTGGTGGTACACATCTATAATCCCAGCACTTGGAAGGTGAAGGCAGGAAGAGCAGAAGCTCAAGGTCATCTTCAACTACATACTGAGTTTGAGGCCAACCTGGGTTACATATGACCCTTTCTCCAAAAAGAAAAAGAAAAAAAGAGCCAGGGAATTGAGAGAGACAGAGGGACAGCAGGCAGCCACTTGATCTTACTCAAAGGATTCCTCTAGGTTACTGTACATGAGAGACCCTGTTGTGGGCACAATTGTGCTACCGCCCCCCAACTGCTCTGTCAAATCCTTACCCTCCAGTACCTCAGAATGTGACTATATTTGGAACTGGATCCTTTAAAGCAGTAATTAAGTTAAAACGAGGTCATTAAGGTGGCTCTGATCCAATATGACTGATGTCCTTATAAGAGATAGACATTACTAACTGGAAATGTAGCTCAGTTGGTAGAATGCCTCCTTAGAATGCAGTAGCCCTGGGTTCGATCCCCAGCACAACATAAACCAGGCATGGTGATGCACCCTGTAACCCCAGCACTTGGCAGGTCTAGAGGCAGAATTGGGAGTTTAAGTTCATCTCTGGCCACATGCAAGTTTGAGGCCAGCCTGGACTACATGAGAACCAGTCTGAAGAGGAAGGAGGAGAGGGAGGGAGGGAGGGAGGGAGGGAGAGAGAGAGAGAGAGAAAGAGAGAG